TCTCAGTTCCGGATGTGGACGTGGTGAGGTTTCTCCGGATTCTTACGTTTTTGAACATGGAGGAAATCATTGTCTTGGAAGACGAAATGAAGAAGCCAGGATATGTTCCAAACTCTGCTCAGAGGAGGCTTGCTGAAGAAGTCACCCGTTTTGTCCATGGTGAAGAGGGTCTTTTAGAGGCTTTGAAGGCTACTGAAGCACTAAGACCGGGAGCTGAGACAAAGTTGGATTGGAAGACAATTGAGGGGATTGCAGAAGATGTCCCTTCTTGTTCTTTGGCTTATGCCGAGGTTTTGAATGCTTCACTTATTGATCTGTCTGTTTCTACTGGTTTGCTTGACAGTAAGTCTGCTGTCCGCCGCTTGCTGAAGCAAGGGGGACTTTACTTGAACAACATCAAGGTTGCTAATGAAGGTAAGACAATTGAGATTGAAGATATTATTGACGGGAAAGTGCTACTGCTGTCTGCTGGGAAAAAGAATAAGATGGTTGTGAAGATATCATAGTTGCTAAATTTTTTTCGGTAAGTGTGTGGTTTAAAGGGAAGAGTAAACAGAAGAAAAAAAGATTGCCGAGACCTGCTGTATGCAATGCTCAATCTATGTAGAAATATGTTATATTATTTGAATAAACATCTGAGCAAACAACAAATTGCTATATTTTGAGACTTGTTGGATATATTGTTTGATAGTAACTTTTTCATAATTCCATGCAGCACCATTGTAGCATTGGGATAGTAGCTTAAGATTTTTTGCAGTCTGTTAAGTATAAATATTGAGAATTGTTTCTAACTTGTGATATTTTGATTGAAGTAATGGCCGCCACATGCCTTTGTCCTTATTTTTTTCGTAGATTTGTTTGGGTTTTGATCTTGGCAGCTGAGAATTTCTTCTTCAATACCTCTTCCGCAATCTTCTACGTGTTTCCAAATTATGCTCTCTCTCTTTCTTTGTTTTCTCTCTTCATTTCTTCTTCAACAATCTCTCTCGTCGTCTTTTTTTCATTTTTGTTCTTTGATTCCTTTTCCTCTTAATTTTTGAAATTTCTTGAAATGGGTTTCTAAGATTTGCGATCTCGCGGTTTGGTTTGTGTTGTCCAATTGAAGAAGAACTTGGTACTGCATGTTAGTTCAATTGAAGAAAAAGGATATGCAAACTAAGTTTTGATATTGCAAATTTCTGTTCTTTTGAACCTTATGTTTTTTACTTTCTCTCTTTAACGCTTGATCGCCTTCTCAAGGTTAGAATCTGATTTTCTAAATCACAACATCCGAAATTTTGATTAAGCTTTTGAGATTGTAATTAGTAATAAGGTGGTTGTTTGTTTCATAGGAACCAGAGTTGCTTTGAGTTGATTCAGAAAGAATTAATTAGAAGGCAAATGCAAAAGGTAGCAGTGGCTAAATACGGTGCTTTCAATCTCTGGTATTTCTTCTTCTATCATTTCTCTAGAATGTTATCATAGATATAGATGATTGGAAAAGGCAAAATTGGGTGTTTGATTCATTAAGATCAAACCATCCCCTTCAATCCACTCTTCAATTGTTGTTCAATTTCGAGCCATTACGTGAGATCGATTCGATTCTGCTATATATGGTCAGAATTCGTGCTTAACCTTTTATCTTATGTGTTTTTTTTATCTGATTAATATTTGACGGAATTTCATCTGATAGAGCTTCATTTATCCTTTTTTCATGTTTATAGTTAGTAGTTTCAAATACCCATCTTAAGTAAAAATTGATTCGTAGTAGTGTTTTTTTTTTCAATTATAATTGCTCATGATTGATTTAGGTACTCTTTGATTTTAATTGTGGATAATTAGTCTGGTTGATTTGTTGGTTTTAAATGATAGAAGTTAGGTTTGATTCTGTGTTTTTTGTTTAGAATTGAAAATTCATCAGACCCATTTTGTTATATACTTTTAATGTGGATTTTGATCAAGAACTTGATTTTTTGTTCTCTAACATGATATATTTTACTGAAATAAAAAGAAAATTTTCCAGTATACCGGTTTTGAAAATTTAATTTGATTTATTTGTGGTGTTCTCAACCTATACTATAGGATGAATGTATTTTAAGTTTGTTTATTCAATTTTGCAGTATCCACTTTTCAAATTGTTTATTGTTCTTTATAATCATCAAGACTAGATTAAAAGTCCGATCATTGTAAGTTTATTTTGATCCTTTGAAGTCTCAGATTTTTTATTCAATGTTTGATGGGTAGGATGATAGATTTGAGAAGTTATTAATTTGAAACATTTGAGTTGAAATTTAATCTTCTCATCACTTGATTGGAATTGGTATTGCAAAGAAATCTTAATAATTTCAGTTTGTCTATGTTCGCTTTTCAATCATCTTCTTCCATCGTTGAGCTCACCTCACAGAGAAATCATGGGAAGAACAGTACCAGCGGTAGATTAATCAAGAGAAGAACTCGCTCTCTACTCTTCTTCATTCTTCTCTCATTTCATTTTGCATTGACGATATGGATGGGTTTGGGTTTCGATCGTACGGCTGCGAATTGATTGTTGGAGTCGGTCCTTTCTTCTCTTCTTTGATACTTTCTTCTGCAAATATATTTCGGTCGGTTTGTTCACTTTTGTTTTCGCAATTGGATTTTTCTCCTTTTTATTCTTGCCTAACTTCGTTCTCTGTGTTAGCAATCGTCCTACTATTCATCTCTCTCTCGATCGACACTGCAAAAATTGCCCCCCTTTACTTTTTCTTCTCTTCACTCTTTATCATTCAGAATTTTCTTCAAATTAATGGAAAAATCGGGTTATGAATTATGGAAGAGATGGATTATACAAATGATTTTGACCCACATCGAATTTAGGTTGCTATTACTACTGCGATTTCTCTTTGTTTCAAATTAATTTAAAGTTTCTAAGTCCAAATTAGTTGTTACTGTTGCTCAATTATGAGAAAACCTGAAAGATTTTGGTTTACCAGCTATAATTTTAGGGTCTGAAGGTTCTTCTCATCATGTTTTCATATTAAAGGAAGTGTTATGAAGAATGGTGATGACGATGATGATGAAGAAGATGGCGATTTGGTGAGAACATTTGCGATTATTAACATCTCTATGGTTTCTTTTCTGTTTCGAAGTTCAAATTCTTATTCCTATAAACTCACACTCATTGATGCTTATCCTGAAGAAGGCCCTAACTTTGGTCGATTGAAGTCAGCAGCTGCTAGAGTTTCTCATGGATTGACTCAATTACGAATTAAAATTGCTGATGTTGTTCTTATTTGCACCTAATTCAATTCAGTTCCCAATTTGTTTTCTTGATATAATTGCAATTGGTTCTATTGCTACTACTGTGAATCCTCTTTGAGAAATAAATGTGCACGTCTTCCTCTTTCTTGTTATTATATTTTCTCTTGAAAAACTTAATTTTGCTCGGAAGATTGAAGAATACGAATTCCTCTTCAATTTAATCTAAAGCTCTGATTGTCACCAGAGAAAACACAAACGTATGATTGCTTTTGATGGTAGTTTAATGATCATTTTGCTTCTCTTTCTCTCCCTCTAGATAGTTGTTAATTTGTGTTACTTGATTTGGTTTGCAGGGTTGAATTTCCCGGATTTGGTTTTACTGGTTGGCCGAAAGGTTTTCATGACATGGTTAGAACTCTTATTTATTTGATTTAATATAGTTTTCATTATTTTTTTCATAATTGAATATTGATGATATAAAAATCTTTCTTAAGAGACTCAATTTCGCACAATGAATTTAGGACATTTATGTATTGTATTTGAATATGATAATAACTGAAAATAGACTAAAATGACATCTTCTGATAATAACTTGGACTCGACTTCCCACATATCCAAACACTGTAACATGATAATGGATGTTTAGTACTGTAACATATGTTCTGCCGACACAAACACATCAAGCAGGAATATTACTATGACAGGGTGACTGTTTATATGGATGCTTTATACATATTGGTTTGTTGTCGTCATCATCGAACAAAACGAAATTTCAATATTAATAAATAAATATTTCTATGTTATATATATGATTAGTATCAGTGGGTACAAGTTTGCTGCGATTTTTTCTTATTTATTGGGCGTCGGTAGTGGGTTTGAGTTCCATCGGGTTTGACTGTCTGATCAAACAAAATTTGGATATTAATTAATAAATATTACTATGTTTGAGTGACTGTTAGTGGTGATGTGTTCTGCAAAATTGAGCCCTTATTA